CAAAATAGACAATTTTAATGGGTCTCTTTTTAGTAAATGAAAAAGAAACTAGAGGTACCGTAAGCAATGAGTTCAATAAAAGATATCCCCCCGCCTTCCATATAAATATAATGGCAGTGTCCATGTTTTGCTGTGGGAAACCCAAAATATGTGTCGAATCAAAAAGTACAATAAGGCACAATGGCAATATATAATAAAGATTCTGTGAAAATTTCACCAAATTTCAATCAGTGATATGAAAGGAGTTGCGGATAGAGATGGGTACCCCCAAAGCGTAACAGATGGACGGACGGACATCCCGATTACTAAATAGTATATACATGTACATATACATGTACCGTCCCGCTTTCCAAGCGGGGTGTAGAAATACATTGTACAGTTATATATATGTAAATTGATTTACAATACCTTAGACATACAATACCACAATAAAATATGTATGAATGCATTGTCAAAACGTAAGAAATCTCTAATAAGACAATCTTTTCTTCTCAGCAGAAATTTATCAAAATATTATTTGAGTACGTTATTACTCAAATCAACTACGTCCCCAAGTAGTTGTAACAACCCCCCCCCCCTCCCCCTCTTCATAATATGTATAATTAAATAATGCATTGTTTGTATTTTAAATTCTTCTAAGAACCTTACTTTTTTTTTAGAACTCGCTAAAATTAATAAAAAGGCCTTATTTAAACTTGACGCCTGAACTTACGCCTACCAATGAGTAGACGTAAAATTGTGGCCTAAATTTAATCAGGCGTAACGATACGCTCTTTAATGAAATGCAAATATTCGTGCTAGTCCCGACTTTACGCCGGCGTAGCGCTACGACTGGGCGTACGACCTTTGATGAAACGGACCCCTGGTCCTGATTTTAAAAAGAAGGCTAGAAATAACTTCTAACGGCAAATAATTATTATTTGGTCCAGCATAGTTTTTTAACCTATTTCAAGTATACTGAATCCGAAAAAATATGCTGGCCTTTAAGAAAATGGCGTTAAAGAGGTCAAAATGGCGATTCAAAATGGCGGACATCCAATTTTTATAATTTTCTCTTAATGTCATTCAAAATAGAGAAGTAATGAGTGAATATCTAGCTGAGTGTAATAAAACTATAAAAAATTATAATAGGATGCTAAAAGTATTAGTTAAACTCAGAAAAATTTAGTCGTTTCTACACTTAATTCGAATTTTCTCTGATATTTTTGTCTATTGTTTCTATATTCTTCTTTGTTCAGGATTTTACATTTGAAAATATCCATACACTGCAGATCTGTATTTTCCCTCTACATCTCACTATTCTGCAATTGAATGATAGTGCAGCTGTAAGTGAAAAGCCAAAATGGCGATTAAAAATGGCGGATATTCAACTTTTTCTTCAAATTATTTAATTTTTAATGTCGTTTACATAGGAGAAAGGATTTGTAAATATTTTACTGAGCGTAGCACAACTATGTAAAATGACAACAGAACACTAATTTGATCACTTTAAATAGGGGAAATTTAGTCGTTAAATTTGAAATGTGTTAATAAGCTCAAAATGGCAATTCAAATGACGTCTGATACACTCGAATTTCGTAAAATATTTAATTGCTTAATTCTGGTTCGTTTTGCAGAAAATAAATTACAGTTTGTTTTTTTATTCATGAAATAATGTTCAAATATGCAATGAAAGTTTGCGGATATTTCTGTTAATGACTTAGGATTTTTATAACACGGATTTTTGTTTAATTAGTACTATTGTTAAGATAAATTTATGACGACAATTCCGAAGACATTTTACCTTTTATCTGTCTCACCATTCTTCTTCATATAAAAAGTTAATTATTTCATATAATAATTGCTGTTTTGAGGACAATATGAAAATTAAGCTACCCGAAGAGCAGCATGCCCCGAGCATTAAGGCGAGTGAACATTCAGTTGTTGGGAATTCTTGATCTATTTTTAGTCCAATGTAGAAAAAATAAATGTTTATGTTCATCTGGAAGGTCTAGTGCAACATAACTTAGAATGATTTTTAAAATGATTGAACACAGTGGGCTACCAATTATAGGGCTAGTAATTGTTACATCATATAAATATGAACATATTATAATATCCTAATATAAACATATATATATTAAGAATTATCAATATGATATACGTAAAACATAAATTTTCTTGATTGTCCAGCTTTGGTTCTGTGTCCCTACATTTGCATTTTGTTAATCTCAGTCAAAAATTCAACTGCATTCTCAAATATTTCATGCTGTGAACGGATAATTTTGTATTGAACAGCGTATATAAATTTAATAATTTTGAAAATTACAAAATTTGATAGAAGAAAATGTTTGTGTTCATTCCACCTCGATTCTTGATACAACTTTACACTATGATCAGACCTAATCAAGAAGTGTGGATAAAGTTGCCTTGTAAAGTTCTTGAAGTGTTCAAGAAAATTTTGTTGTCAAGAGAAGTGTTGACTAGATCGAAATCAGGAATGGCGTAGACCTATTGTTACGAAAGCTTGTAAGTGATAGGAATCACGAGGAATCTGCAGGCGCTCTTAAATTGCGTAATTTTACAACTTTTCTCACCAAAATATGCACACAATGTGATTTCAGATAATTTTCTTGCTAATACGCGTAGAATGACCTTCCTATCCTAAAAGACAACAAATCTATACGAGGTCACAAACTAAAGAGCTACATGTCTTGAATATCAGAGGTTTTTTATACCCCCCGCTTGAAAAGCGGGAGGGTATGCAGTAATCGGTATGTCCGTCCGTCGCTTTGGGGTTCCCATCTTTTATCCGCAAATCCTCTCATACCACTTAATGAAATTGAATGAAACTTTCACAGAATCTTAATTACATATTGCCATTGTGACCTCCTATTTTACTTTTTGATCCGACACATATTCTGGGTTTCCCATAGCAAAACATGGACACTGTCTGATTGTCATTATATTCATATGAGAGACCGGGGTATCATTTAGTGAACTAATTGCTCACAGTACATCTAGTTCATTTTGCATATGGTTTTGGATAACAAAATATACTTTTAACATTTGAACATAAATGTGTTGTTCCTTGAGTGATGGTTGATTTATTGTATATTGTTTAACGCCGAGTCGGCAGTTTTTCAGCCATGTTTCGGCGGATCCTCGGTTTAAATGATTGGTTTTTGAAGGATTGTGCTTTCTCTGGCGGTCCCCAGTGAGCTTACTCTTTTTCGAACTCCAGAGAAACGATCTTTTACAAGGGTGTTGTCATCCTTGTCACGGGGCACCATTTTACATGAGTGTTGAAAATACCAAAATTCCGAAGACAGGCTGAAACATATACCAAATAAAGCTGGAATAAAAGATGTTAGGGGATAATTCTAAGTTCTTATAAGTGCTAAAAAGCTAGAACAAAGTGTTCAATGAAATCTGATAAGGATTTCTTGTTATATTTGATGGTCTGCCGAGGGATGTTGAGGTAGAAGTGCAGGTTGATAATGACAGGATTCGGGAGTGATTTTAGGTGGACGGGGGCTCAGATACGAAGGGGGAAATCTGGAAACTCTTCAGTCAAGTTTGTTTTAAGTATTTCCAGAAAAAATGAATCTTTTCAAGTATTTCTTGTTCATATTTAATGGAATAATCAATATACAATACATATTATGTATATAATTGACAAACTGTAATTAATTATCTGCAAAACGAACCAGAATTAAGCAGTTTCTACGAAATTCAAGTGTACAAGACGTCATTTAAATTGCCTTTTTGAGCTAATTAACACATTTCAAATTTAACGACTAAATTTTCCGATTTAAAGCGATCAAATTATTGTTCTGTTGGCAATTTATATAGTTTTACACGCTCAGTAAGATATTCACAAATCCTTTCTCCTATGTAAACGACATTAAGAAATAATAAAAAAAAATATTCGCCATTTTGAATTTTAACTTACAGCTGCGTCATCATTCAGTTGTAGAATAGTCAGATGCAGAAGAAAAAATACATATCTGCAGTGTATGGATAATTCGAATGTAAAATCCTGAACAAAGAAGAATATAGAACAATAGACAAAAAAATCAGAGAAAATTCGAATTAAGTGTAGAAACGACTAAATTTTCTGAGTTTAACTAACAATGTTAGCATTTTATTATACTTGTATTACACTCAGTGAGATATTCACACATTGTTTCTCCGTTTTTGAACGATATTAAGAGAAAATTATAAAAATTGGATGTCCGCCACTTTGAATCGCCATTTTGACCTCTTTAACGCCATTTTCATGAAGGCCAGCATATTTTTTCGGATTCAGCATACTCGAAATAGGTGTAAAAACTATGCTGGACCAAATAATAATTATTTGCCGTTAGAAGTATTTTTTTTCTATAAATCGGACCATACTATAAACCAGTATAATGATGATGCAAATTGTCCAAATTATAAATACTATTTCTGTCCCACCTGTCTGTTTAGGCGACAAAGACACTCCTCTCCTCAACGAAAGAACGCACTAACTGAAGGGAGATAATCTCGAAACTTGCGCATCGTCCTTTTCTACTACGATTAATAAAGATACATGTACTGATTTGTTAAAGTTAGTCAATGTTTTAAAATCCAATGAATCCTGTAAAGTGTGCATAGAGCGGTTTTTCAAATGGATCATTAAGGAATACTAGGGCAACATCAATTGGTTTAAGTTATGATAACAAGTTCTGACATAAGATATTTCAAGAATATGCTTGACAACACATGTCTTCCGTGTATTAAAATGAGATTATCATTATTCATGTTTGAGTAGGTGAGAGAGAAAAAAATTACGCAATACTTGACAAAATATTCTAAATGAGAAAATTCCTACTTGAAAGAATTTACTGAGCCAGCCTTTATACTTTTTTAAAGTTTAGATATTGTTTAACTATAAAAATATTTTTAAAAACTTCCTTTTAAATAAACCTCTGATGTAAACATGCTTATCTAAAGCCATTCAGACAGTGGTTTATATACTTCCTTCTTCTATTAAACTTTTCACCAGTGTAAATGGAGTTTCTAATTTTGTTGTTTCTCATGCATACATTTTCAACAAATGGATATGGTAAGTATTTTTTCTATCGTGTAATAATAACAATTTATGGAGAGAACGATCATAGGCAGTTGTGCCTGCTGTTCAATCCATTTCTATGAATAAATATATTTCAAACTAAATAATAACAAATATTAGAGATCTGTATTGTTTGACGACATGTCTGATGTGCTCTGTTAGTACTTTGTATATGGTTTTATAATTTATGACCTTATCAACATATGACCTAGCTTCAGAACTGTAGCTCTCTGCTTGAGAAAATTTGGACAGATAAAGCAGAGAGATACAGATCCATGCGTTGTAAAAACCTTCCATATACGCCGCCGATTTTTTGTCGCTCACCTGTTAAAAAAAATAAAATAGGTATTATTTTCTATATTTTATGTATTCCTCAGCTTGATAAATAATATCCAGTATTTAACCATGCATTTAACTAAGATTTAACTCCTATTCCTTAATATTAGTTACCTTTCAACAGTTCAAGAATAGTCGTTTTCCTAAAGTGGTCGGAAACATGAGAATCTTTTAAACCGACATTCAGCATCCATAGTGGACTCTTTCGGACCGTACGCTTTTGAAGGTTAATAATGTTTAAAATACAATTATTGAAATGAATATATGATTAATTACTGGATATCATTATAAGAGCGTAAAAAACATAACCTACAAGAATAAATACCTGAAATGAGCTGCAAAAAATTGACGGCTAAAATTGAAGGTTTTTACAACGCATGGACCTGTAGCTCTCTGTATCAGAAACCAGGTAAAATAAGCCCTTTTCCAAGCATGAAATTTCCTCATTATTTTTTGAGTCACTCATTCGTAACGCATGTCATTTAGCTGATTGGTCTACTAGAAAGTCGAATTCAGGGCCTCGATTAGCATATGAATTGATTCTTACATCAGAAAATCCAGTTTCTTCGATCTGTTCATAATGGAAAAGACCAGCTGGATTTTACAATTAAAAAAAGCATTTGAGCGCAGTTAGGTACAATTTTTCTTTTCACAGGTAGATCTCAATAAAATACAATGACCAGCCAAGGAAAAAATTGTACCTTCCTTCGCTCGTATGTTTAAGGGTTTCAAAGAGGTGGTCGGGGTCAAACTTCAATGAGAATAGGATGTAAACAAGAAACTCCTACCCAAATAAAAGATCTATATCCTGCAAAAAGAAATCTCGTATATATTTTTGTTAAGAATAATATTCCATAAAAGTACACATATCAGTGGTAAGTTAAATTTAAACATTTAAATAAAGTTTGCACATTTAATTTTTGTCAATTTACTGTCACCTCATCTTTTTCCAAGCAAAGAGTTACGTTTCTGCAACCACATATAAAGTGTAATTATAAATACATTTTTGTCAAATCCCTTAGCTCTCATTTATTTTGGCACTGTTTGATTTTCATAAATCACTCAAACACAAATTAGAATTGAAAATGGTCATTTATTGATTAAATGACGTAATATTGGAACAAAACACTAACTACAAAAATTTGAAATAAAATAACCCGGATGTATATTAAAAAACATATATTATTACATCCGGGTCGAAAACATCTCTGCCTTGTAAAAATCATTATGCCAGCATGAACAAAGAGTATTACATAATATATTCATCGTTATGTCCTTGAAAATCAAAAGTGGGGGACCAAAAATTGCCCCAACACACATTATGACAAATCAAAAAATAATAACACAGAAAAATATAACATGATTGACTAGAATAAATTTTCAAAATAAACAAATATTACAACTGATGCTTAAACGATATTATGAATACGAGCTGTAATTAAAACAAAAATAAATCAAAAATACTAGTTTACACATTGCGTTAGGGAGGGTGGTGGGCTGTAAAAAACTTTCCAGCTACCAACAGCGTGACTCTTGATCTTTTGTTTTTGTTTGCAATGCCCCCTAGCGGTGAGCAAGATTGGATACTAGTAACTCTTTCCAATTAATTCTTAAGTAGGAGATAACTCTCTTTTAACAATGATTGCCAAAAACACATTTATGTTCATAAATGTTATTTTTTGTCAAATCCCTTAGCTCTCATTTATTTTGGCTCTGTTTGATTTTCATAAATCACTCAAACACAAATTAGAATTGAAAATGGTCATTTATTAATTAAATGACGTAATATTGGAACAAAACACTAACTACAAAAATTTGAAATAAAATAACCCGGATGTATATTAAAAAAAATATATTATTACATCCGGGTCGAAAACATCTCTGCCTTGTAAAAATCATTATGCCAACATGAACAAAGAGTATTACATAATATATTCATCGTTATGTCCTTGAAAATCAAAGGTGGGGGACCAAAAATTGCCACAGTATTACTTAAAAGGCGTATTGAAAAGTAATACCCCCCCACCCCAAAATGATTCAAACATTTAAATAAAGTTTGCACATTTAATTTTTGTCAATTTACTGTCACCTCATCTTTTTCTCAAGCAAAGAGTTACGGTTCTGCAACCACATATAAAGTGTATTATATATTATATATATATATATATATATATATATATATATATATATATATATATATATATATATATATATATATATATATATATATATATATATATATATATATATATATATATATATATCGATAACTATTCGGACTGGGGCGGAAGTGGGTATCCATGTAAAAGTTAATTTCTTTATGCTTTCTATATTAATATTTCTTCACTTAGGGCAGGTATGTTAGTTAAAGAGTTGTTGTAAAATGTGCTGTATAAATAATAATTAATTTCATTACAACATGTATTGGTAACAATCCTCTGTTAAAACTAATGTCCAAATAACTGTATCTCACTTCAATTCTCAATGACCGTGTATAGTGTAGTGCAGCGCCGCGAGAATTCCATCGGCATCGAAAGCAAGTTTTTTAACTTGCCTAGATAGCGGAGCGGTCTAGCGCGATGTTCCTGCACTGCTAGGAGACAGATTCCGAAGGTCGAGAGTTCAACCCCGGACTGGGGCGGAAGTGGGTATCCATGTAAAAGTGAATTTCTTTGTGCTTTCTATATATATATACATGTATATATATATATATATATATATATATATATATATATATATATATATATATATATATATATATATATATATATATATATATATATATATATATATATATATATATATATATATATATATATAAAAAGCACAAATTACAACAACTCTTAAACTAATATAACTGCCCTAAGTGAAGGAATATTAATATAGAAAGCACAGAGAAATTCACTGTTATAAGGATACACACTTCTGCCCTAGGCTGGGGTTGTACTCTCGACCTATGGAATCTGTCGCCTATCAGTACAGGAACAGCGCGTTAGACCGCTCGTTTTTCTAGGCAAGTAGAAAAAACTTGCTTTTGATGCTGATGGAATTCTCACAGCGAAGCCCCACACTACACGGTCAAGGAGAATGGAAATGAGATACAGTGGAAGTGAAATATATATATATATATATATATATATATATATATATATATATATATATATATATATATATATATATATATAAACGAATATTACGTGGGAAAAAGTCAGAAAATAGTATTTGAATTAAATTTGTGGGGATGGAAATTCTAACGAATCTTCACTTAACTGGGGATTTAGTGAAATCTTATGAACCATGTGTGCTTGCTATCGTGTACAATTATAGGCTGAAACCTATTCAAAACTTTTTTGAAAAAGGGAGATATCGAGACATTATTGAACAAAAGTAGTTGCCTTTAATTATGTAAAACATCTTTATACAGAGTCAAAACATGTGTGTAAATAGGGGCTTTTAGACTTTATATGCTGATAAGGTAATATTACTTACGGCTATATACAGCTAAAACACATCAGGTATTGAACCCTTTACTCTTCCATACGCAGACCCCCCCCCCCTCTCACCTACCAAAATCAAGAAGTATTGGTAAACACAATGCACTACGATAGAATAAATATATATCAGAAAAAAATAAATATCAGCACATCAGATCTAGGTTCTTATTACTTAAAGTAATATAGAAACAGATTTTAATTTCAGCTTAACTTCATAATGGAGATTTAAGGAGGCTAGGTGGTCAATAATTTTTTTTTATTAACCACCAGATATAACTTAAATTTTAGAATAGGATATCTTAAGCTGTCAACTATCATTTGGCAAAATTTTAATTTTGAAATTTGATCGTTTTATTATATCTTTATATGGAGCTCTTCTTTTAAAGGAGATCCAAATTGTCTAAAATGGCCACGACCACCCAGCCTCTTTAAGAGGGAAAAGTTTGGTCTCAGCTAAATTAAATACGGTAGATGACAAGTAAACTACAGAAATTATCCATCTGCAGGCATTCGTCTTTATTTTAAGGACCATAAATAAGATGATCTCTACTGTACCTTGGCTTTTAAAATCCATGGTACAGAAGCTTTCACTGAATCCCGGATGAAGTTAAGATTCATTAATTCATAAGAATTCCCGCCCCCGCAAATTAAATCGATAAAACTGAAGCAAAATGTTTTGGACAAAAGAAGTTGCTTAAATTGTCTAAAACATCTCAATACAATTCAAACATGTAAAATTAATAAATAAAGATGATTACACTTTATAAGACGATAAAATATAAGACAATATACTAAGTTATTACACAACAAGTATAGGCAGTTTAAGCTTCCTTAGCAATCCGTAGTTAAATATTTTTTTGTAAAAATATTATAGTTGAACATCATATATTTTGCCTAAAAAGTGCTGCTAGAATACCACTGTCTAGTCGGTAAAATAACTATTTCACACATTTGCACAAAACCTTAATTGATATTTTGTATTTTATACAAAGTTTCTTTATTCTTTAAACCATGCTTATCTCGACTAGAGATTCTAGCAGCACTTTTTAAAGTCTTTTAGAAGGCAAGTTTTTGATCTGTACAAATTTTATATTATGTATCAATTTCTTTTCCATTCTTTTTGTCCCGAATTACATAGGAGAGACAGACCGAAAACGTAAAAAGCTGACAGTATTAAAAAAAATAGAACCATGAAGATAAATTTGCATACCTGTTTAATAATTTTTAATTCATATATGTATAAATCTCTTATAATATTCACAATATTTTCGTCTTAATTAACTCCTTTTCACGCATCCTTGTACATGCCGTCTTAGCCGAATTTCCTGTACACGACATGATCTATTCCCCTGTAACTTGATGTATGCTTAAGACGTTATCGGTCTGAGATTTTAATCCAAGTGACAGATAAAGCATTAACGAGGCTGGGGTGTGGCAGCCATTTTCAGACTATTTTCATCTCCTTTAAAAGGAGAGCTCCACATGAAGATATAGAAAATGATCAAATTTTAAAACTGAAATGTATGAATTTTTTATTTGTGAAATGATAGTAGACAGCTTAAGTTACCGTATCTAAAAAAATAAGTTAAATCTGGTGGTTAATTTGTGATTAATTTGTTGACCCCCCAGCCTCCTTAAAAAAAGAAGCATTTTATTTTTGTTAATAGTTACATGCTACTATTCATTTTCTGGAGTTTTAGATCTCTAGATACCAATATATTTTGAAAACTTTGGTTCTAAAATTGACGTCATATCTCGCCTACTATGGTGTCATAATATATTACTGATTTAGTCAAGTTAGAGTATTCTGAATGTTTCCTTAACACTCCTGCAAAGCTTCAATTCCTTTAAGTATATAACCTTAAAAGGAAATAGTCGATAAAAATGTTCTTTTCTTGCGAAATTTTAATTCTATTTTACATCTATCTCCGGTTGCATTGGTCTGTATACATTTGTATCTTATAGATAATTTATCAGTGGGAAAGCATTGTGAACAGAGTTCAATGTGGACATGTTCTGGTGAGGGCTGCAAAATGTATGAAGCAAACAACGCAGTTGATGGAAAAATCAATACATGTATGAGAACTGAGGTGATTGGTTCTTCCTCTTCTCACAAAACAGTGTGGTGGAGGGTAGATCTTGGAGACATTAAGAGTATATACAGTATCAGGATACAGTTTAAGGACTTTGGACAGGAATTCTGTAGGTAGCAATATCATCCCTTAAACATTTTAGAAGTTTTTTTTTTTTAATCTTAAATTACTTTTAAAAAATTGGTTAACAAATTTTGGCTTGCTTTAAACTATTCAGTCTGCATCCTTTTTACTTGAGATAAAGATCGAAGATAATAATTTTTGCCGCTGATATAACTATTTTTGTAATTTTGATAGTTTCTTTTAAGACAATGTTTTTCCAGTTCCAAATTCATGACAAAGAAATCGTGAAATAATTCATAGATTCGCTTAAATTACGAGTGAAGGAAAAATGATCTTTAGGAAGATCTGCAGTACAGCGATAGGAAATATGTTGGTAGGGGATGCTAGATCACTAAGATCCACCTCTGAAATTCCCTTATGTTCATGATTTTGACCTGTTAACATTAATATTATATTTTGGTCTTTTTTAAACCAACTACTGTTTTTTATTTTTACAATTTCTTATGTACCTGTGTTAGTTTGTGTTAGTATGAATTTAAATCCTGAAATTGATGTTAAAATATTGTCTGTGTACAGGTATAAGTACTTTGTTGTGAAAAAGAAGTGCTCGGGTTCGTTCTTCATAATGAGATACAAGTATAATATAAAGTATGATATAAATCTAATTTTACAAAGGTGACTTCACGCCATTGCAAATAGCGATATCGTCATATGATTATTTTTTGTGTGACCAAACAAAAAAAATTTTTTCTTAACTTTTGAATTGCAGTATCTTTAAAAAAAAGACTTTGGGGATATACTTTGAACATATGCAACTAGTAAATGATAGGATTGCTAAGGGTGATCAAAAAGTTCGCAAACTAACTGAAAAACTTCCAATAAAGAAACAATATTGGGTTTCATGGTTGATTATATTTTGAATTAGTCCTCTCCGATTTTAATGCACATCTGCCATCGTTTTGCTCATGCGCAAATCACGTTATATTGGCGTTAACGTGACCCCCTCCTTAGTGTTCTGTCACTAAAGGTGAAAGATATTTCTAAATTTTATATTTCTTTCGATAAAAGTTAATTTTTCTATAACAAAACAGTTCATTTGTCAGAAATGGCAAAATCTCGGCGTCAGAATGGGTGGATAAGAATATCCTTTTCAAAAAATAAGCATGGCGACAATCAAAACTCAAATCTTCTGTCTCGGGAGAGACGCTTATTCAAGGTTGATATAGAATGGGTGCCATCTCCTTTTAACATATACATGTATCTAATATCAGGGTTTTCCATCGTTTTAAATTTTACTGTGTCGCAGAGTTTACGCAAAGCACTAACATTTCGCTGTATTTTCGCGATCAGATTCGCAATTAAATCATAATTCATTATAATTACAGAAGCATATAATACACACATTTAAAAAAAAAATCGCTAATTCGTTGCACAAATGGTATGATCGTACATTATACATATTGATAAAGGTAAAATCACATGGTCGGAAAAGCAGAGAAAATTCTGGTCGATACAATGGAACTTAAATATTTCTGAAAGTAAATTTGCCGTGGTTATTGGTCATTTTTCTTGATTGAATTGCCAAATTAAAAAAAAACAAAGAAAACCACTTCAGAATAGCACAACACTTTCAGGGTTCCTTTAACATGTTGAAAAATTTAAGCAGTTTATTTTCATCAATTAAATGATTTCGGGACGATTTTATGTTTGACGTACGGTGCTAAAATAATTCTAAAGCAATGGCTCTGTAGAAAAAAACATATTAATCTATTTAAAAAATGAATTAATTACAATCTATTTTAATACAATTACCAATTAACCGTTAAATGGAAGTGTGAAAACAGTCCGGCGAGGGTCTAGGAGATAAATGAGTATGCAAGCACACCATTCCATGTTACGCATGCCCAGATCATCAAATTTTATACTTTGACCAGCGGACCATGACGTAAACACTCAGGCATCCAACCTTCACCCGGTCGTCTCCAGTCATACATACGGTTACCTTCTATTACTACCTTACTTTCATCTGTAAATATCACTCTATCGCATTTTCTTTCAACTCCCCACAATTTCTTTCCTCTTGCCGAAGCCACACGATTTTTGCTGTTCTCATTGCGAATCCTTTGATAAGAGCCTCCTATAAAAATTATTTTCATACAATCATTTCTTGACTGTTCTCTGTGAATCAGGAAAAGGCCTACCATGATTGATCATATCCGTAATAGAACGTTTGGTTTTTACGGTTCTTAAAAGTTTCCTAGTTTCACGATCGTCAATTGTTCGTTTTCTGCCACTTCACTGAACCTCATGCTAAATAGCGTTGTACAACAGAATAAGACCGCAAAACATTAACTGGCAAGATTGGAAATATGCATCTTAAAAACAGTGTAGTTTTATTAGTAGTTTTCAATGAGATATCCTTTAAATTGATGACATTATTTGCTTTTAGACCCTTACCAATGTTTGCGTACAAATGAAAGTTAAAATATGATACGGTCTGTTGACTTATCATTCTTTTTTCAATGAAGTGTTTGACAGATATGTGTATGTAGCTGAAATCGCATTTTTAAAATCATTTTTCTACGTATAATTGTTGTTTATAGAGGTCTTCCAATGCCGAAACCATATCTTTACAGGGATGTTTTTAAGATCTATATATGAGTAATGATAATGTCGTGATAAATCATGATTACACAACACGTGTGACTGGTCGGCGGAGGATACTCACTTATCAATAGCACCTGGTTCCACTTCTGATGTTTAAGATGTTCGTGTTTACTCGGCTCCTGCTTTGTGCTTTTATTGGGCTTTTGAGCGTGAATAATGATGTGATTCTTTCTAGAAAGAATAGACGAATGAATGACACTGCTCTCTTGCAGAGTATATTTATATATTTAGTAAAGAAGATAAGATATGCCTTGCAAATCAGCAGTGCCACAGAAGTTGTGAAAAAGCTACAATGTAACAATATCTAATTTGTTTAAATTAGTTTTAAATTCATTAATTGATTTCTGAAAATGAATCAGCAAAAAGATAAATAGATGTATACGAGGGGTTATCAAAATGTTCGGAAACTATTTCAATATTTACAAAACCACAATAAAGATCAGAAGGAAAATTGGCACACCTATAGTCATGCACATGTTCTATAAATTGCACATTTCTCCATCATTGTGACGTCAGAATGTTAAAATGACGTCAATACATAGATGACTCGTGACGAAAAATGGTTGTCATAATCTTACTCGAGGAACAAACAGCTGTGAAGTTTAACGTATAACTTGGAAATTCTTTTGAAGTATCGTATAATAATTTGTACAAGTTTTATGAAGATAATATACTTTCCAGATGCTCAATCATATGTTGGATTAATTGTTTTAGTGAAGGGAAGGAGATGGTTCAAAATGATGTTTGTTTTGTAGCACAGGGAAAGCAAGCTGGGGAAGAGATATCATTTATTTGGCAGTTTGTTATGAAAGATCACGAAGTTACTGCTAAAAAAATAGTTAAATATCTTAACAATTATATAATACTTAAATCCCTAAAATATTGCTTATTTTAGATTTCTAATATATTGAATATGATAAAAAGAACGTCCCATGCTATATTTATATCTATATTGGATAATCAACGTTCCTAACACAGGGAAATCGGGTTGTGATGTTCACCGTGCTCTTTTTGGCAAATGATATCCTTATCCAACCATTTTATTTCTGTGATTTAATTGGTCATTTTTGACAAATTGACTGTTCTTGTTATTAAAATTAACTTGCAAGGTAAGAAATATTGGACTCGGAAAATATCAAAGCGTCTATGAACAGACTGCTCCGGAGCATGTCTTGTGACCGCATGGAGCACGTGATTCGCGCATGGGCAGAACGGTGCCATATATGCACTATAATCAGAAAGGGCTACTTTAAAAAAAATAATGAGCACTGAAATCTTATTTTATTTGTTGTATGGAAATTATTCAATCTCAAACTTTTTGATCACCCATCGTATATATCAGAAATAAATAATTTTCCCAGAAATAAAATCTTTTACGATAAACTTTGTTAAAGTCATTTTAAGTGAACTTTTTATTTCAATAACTTTTGTTTAGTGAAAGAAAAATCATAATGATCTCCTAAATCACCCGTATGATGTATTAGGCAACAATTGAATGCTACACATGTACCTGATAATGTTATATAAAAGTGTTTCTTTCTTAATTTCTAGCTGATCGTCAACGAGGAAGACTTGCAGGGTTTTCGTTATATGTTTCGAACACAAAAGTAATTAAGAAAAGTTATCTTTGTTACAAAGATGGACCAGAACTACCTCCGTTAGATATAAGCAAAATCTGTACCATGCATGGACGATATGTTACATTTTACAATGAACGAAATAAGACATCATATCCTGTCGGGTACGAAATGGCAACTGTTTCAACGGAGATATGTGAAGTGAATGTGATGGGTAATATTTTAGAACAATTATCTATTTATAAATACGTTATTTATATTTAAAAAATAACTAATATACGGTACAGTATGCACAGTGCATATGTTAAAGACATTCTTATCCAATTTTTCATTTGTCCAGGTTGTAAAACAGATGGGTTTTATGGTAAAAACTGTGATCTTCCTTGCCCCCTTCAGTGCCAGGATAGAAGATGTCATATTAAAAAGGGAACCTGTCTTGGTTGTACATCTGGTTGGATAGGAGAGTTCTGTAACAAAAGTAAGTTACTATATTTTCTGCACAAGATTTAAGAGGTAAACCGAAAAATAATTTTTAAAAAAAGCCATTTATAAATAGATAATCAAAATATATACTGTCATCTGAAATTTAAATCATTATAAGGTGAGGCACTTTGAAAAATATATACAATTAATTATGTCTTTCAGAAAGTCGATAATAATTTACTGTGTCCTTTTCTTGCTTTTCTTGATTTTTAAATCTAGTTAACTATATATTCAGAGAAACAACTATATGAAATTTTCTTGTATTTCTTAGCTTGCATGCCCGGATATTATGGTATGGAATGTAAGACAAATTGTACTGGTCATTGTCTTGATGGTGCTTCCTGTCATCATATAAGTGGAAAATGTGAACATGGATGCGAGGAAGGATGGATGATACCCAGTTGTGATCAACGTAAGTCTCTTGCCTGTTATAATTTAAAAATCACTAATTTTGAAAGGAGGCAGAAGAGATTATAAAATGTGATTTTTCACAGATATTACCTCTCAAAATTTCATTATTCTCGAAAGTAACACTCCAAAGAATAATATTTTTTCCAAAGCACAAACAAATTATCACACGAAAATGAAATTTTTCAGTAAAGAAATCAGAAAACTCAAAATATATACAAGTAGTTTTGGAAAACTATTTCGCTTGCACCCGACTTCCATTCTAATGAACTTAAGATCTGGGGATATATTATCTTAGGTTGGAGTTTTATGGGATGTATCCTCCGATTTTTTTTGAATGACTTTTGTTTCTTTTTTACAATTAAAAATTTAAAGTTATTTTTGAAAGGCCAGTCCCCCAACTACTGGTTTGTATTCTCAACTAAAATGTATTTTAAAATTCCAAATGATTAGAATTATTCAAACCCTGCCTTGCTTATTGAATTTGGCTAGGACCTCAACAAATATGAACAAGTCAGATAGTTAATGAGTTTTTATCATATATTTACATTTGCAAATATTTTTCGTAGATGAACCTTTTGAAGGGGAAATATGTTCAATTCTGTATGAATTTACTTTGGGGTTCAGAAGTCATAGCGCGAGCGAATAACATGGCGAAGTGATATCTTATTTCCACATGTATTTCTGGCTCGTTTCGGAACTTGGATAAAAAAGATAAAATAACTTAAAAATATATATATATCTTTCATTTAACAGATGTTCAGTAGATCTTCCTTCCGTGTGAAGAATGTTTAAATACTATTATCAGGGATGGGGTAATTGTAATCAGCTGTAATCGATTACAGTTTGCCAAGTAAACATAAGTAATCAGTAATCACCAAGTTTTCTGATTACAAGTAATCGTAATTTAATCGATTACTCTGAAAAAAGTCCTGTAATCATGATTACTTTTTGATTACTTTATGATTACAATTATTAAAACAAAGTTCATAAAATCATTTTAAGTGATTTTTCTTCAGTGTACAAATTTGTTTATAAGCAAATGTTATAATAAAACTTTAAGCTATATTTACTTAGGTATCTTCTTCTGATGCTTCCAGAAATGCTTATAACCAGATCCATTGTCCAGGCAAAGCGTAATTCAATCATTTCTTAGCTATATTAGGTAGTCATTTCAAAATACTTTAGCAGCTTAGCAATTCACCATTTGACTAGATACATGTACAGGTATATACTGAAAGAAAGTTTCGATCTACATGATGATTTTAAAGGGTTTTTTGTTTCAATTTTATACGAAAAGTAAAAGTGTGTTACGCAACATTTTTTCCCCTATAAATCTTTGAATAAACTTGTTTTCTCAGTAGATATGATCACGTATCAACTAATTTTGTTTTAATATAAAATGTTCCTTTATTGAGATGTGTGTTCTAAAAATCATTTTGTATGATTAACAATGTACATAAGAAGATTAATATGTGAATTTAATATGTTAATTCTATGTGTTAACATCTAGAATAATTAGCAGCTTAATTGAAAAGGTCATCACTATAATCAAGAGGTCAATTACTTGTGTAACTGAATTTCTATCGAATCTTTATATCCTTAACTATAATTATGTCCAGTTTGATCTATAAATAATAATAATAAATTCTTTATTTTCAATTTCTCTTAACCATAACACAAGTTATTTACTTGTATTAAAGATAGAAATCTGTTGATATAAGATTAATCTCATGCATCTATATAAAGATATGTATTATCAAACTTTGTCTGAATCTTACCTTAAAAATTTTAATGATATTTATTAAAAGAAAGAAGAATAAAAACATGCCGTTGTCCTTGAACATTAAACAAAAAAAGATTTAATGTAATCTAAAGTAATCATAAGTAATAACGATTACATGAAGGAAAAGAAATCAGATGTAATTGATTACTTTAAAAAATGTCTAAAATCAGCTTGTAATCGATTACTTTTAAAATCCAAAGTAATTGTAATTTAATCGATTACTTTTGAAAGTAATCGACCCCATCCCTGACTATTATATGCCTTAAATTGCACTAACCGTTTTTAACCCGAAATTTCTTTGCGATTATGTAGACTAGAACAGGAGATATCACCGCTTTTGACTTCAAATAAAATGAACTCATAATATAGTAAGATTATTTTCAGTTGGGATCATTGTTCTTACAGATGTACCGTTCACGGTAGCTGCTCAGTCGGTAGAGCGCTCGCTTCGTGATCGGGAGGTCGTGAGTTCGTATCTCGGCCGCGACTGACTCAGTCAATAAAATGGGTAGCAACTGTTCCTTCGCCATGCGCTCGACAATTTGAAATGAAAGTTGCAGGTCCTTCAGATGAGACCTTAAAAACCGAGGCCCCGTGTCAGCGGCAGGCGTTGGCACGATAAAGATCCCTCACTGCTCAATGGCCCTGCGTGCCGAGTAAAGGTCAAAATTTGAAGCTTTTCACCGGCATACGGTAACGTCTCCATATGAGTGAAATATTCTCGAGAGGGATGTTAAACATTATACAATCAATCAATCAATTTTACAAATGTAGGACTCCAAAGTGCGATGGGACTCCAAAGCCCGATGGTCACGCTACAGTTCGATGGTGTGCACCAAAGTCCCATGTTTCGACCCGCTGTAGTCCGATGGGGCGGAATACAACGTTTATGACGTCACAGTACTGCTGTGCCAAACTGCAATGCCTCTCCACGCCAAGAACCGATTGTTTTTAAAGAAATACAAAATATCATAAAAAGACTTACGATCATCTTTTGGATATAGGTGCGATACTAACACTCATCAGTCGAAAAATGTGTAACAACTTAAACTTTGGGTTGGTGCAGTATTTACCTTACCTTATTCCTGTAGAGTGCGAGGACTTAACCTCAAATCGCTCGGGTGGGTTCAAAGAAACACATAAGTGTTCAAGGACTAACCCTTATCAGTCGAATGGTGTACGAGAACTTACCCTACCTCTGGTAGGTGAAAACAAAATGTAAATTCAGTAAAATTGTATGCGATACGAATACTCAATCAATGGATTCAGATCTAGAATGCAGGACAACGTCACAACGTCAAAACGTCGGACTATTGTGACGTCATAAACGTTAATTGTTCCTCCACACCATCGATCCTTGGCGTATCAGATCGTCGCACTTAAGTGCAACACGTCTTATAGGAAACAAGCAATCGGACTTTGGCATGACCATCGGTCTTTGGCGTCCATAAAGACAGCGAGCTATCGGAGTTTGGCGCAGACCATCGCGGTTTGGCTAGACGATCGGATTTGGGCGTCACCATCGCACTTTTGAGTCATATAAAAGAAGAATTTCTGAAGTGGTTTGCTGAACATCATTGTAAACATTCAAATGTTGGAGCGAGGTGAATTTTCAAGTCCACACAACTTCTAGGTCATCGCGCGTCATAACATAGCAATACGGCGGTCCGTTTGTGTAATAAATACAGTTTTACTGTCTCAATGTAAATATAACTGATAAATAAGAATGTTAAAAAGTTCACTAGGAAGTGAATTTAGTTGATACGTGATCAAATCTACTGAGAAACCCTTTGGACTTCATATGATTCGATCACGTGATCGATTAAGTTTATTTCGCAGAGAACTTTTTAACATTATTGTTTATTTCTTAATTTAATATTAAATCATTTTATTTCACCATTACATATTTATTGATTGGGAAACTTGTAAAAACAAAAAAGGATATTAATTTTTACGATAATTTAATGGATTGCATTAAATTTATTAATTTTGGAGTAAACTACTGGTACCGTGAGGATAGACTAATTTGATAATACCCGGATCCCATATGGTTATGCTTTTGGAGACCCTATAGAAGCATTGTTTAATAAAGAAGCTGTTGAAGTATAACTAGACTTTACTTGATGGTAAAGTAGGGTTGCGGATAAGAGATAGGTACCCTAAAGCGTAACAGACGCAAAGACGCACGCATGCACATAAAGACTTACGGACGGATGGTTATCCCAATTACTATAAACCCTCCAGCTTTTAAAGCAGGTATAAGATAAACCCTTTTTAGTTCTTATTTTGCAGATCTATTCCTCTAGCCTAAATTGATCAAATGTTAACACTTTCCGGAAAAACTGACACCAATTCTGGACAATTCCTTAGCTATCTTCCTGTACGCACATACAATTCATATATATATCATAGTCCAGTTCAAATACAAGGCAAGACTTTGTAATTAAGTTTGATATTAATCATGATCAAAGTATGCAGGTCAATATCCTTTGAAAAAAAAATTAAAAAATACTACAACTCCGCCCATAGAAATTTAACGACTTTTGATATTTTCTTTTTCGACGAAAGAAAAGTAGCTCTACTTCAAAATTCCTCATTAAACAATTTATTTAAAAATATATATATAAGCCGGATCTAAATTCTTCGCATTGTCTGTTAACCTTCCATTGCAATATTTAATATTTGCTCGTTTTATTTCCTAGAGCTGGAAATGATCGTGAGTTATGTAACTGACTCAAAATTCCAGATCATGCCTTTAGCTTTAAATAGTGACATAGTTATCAATTTGAAAAAGGAGAATTCAAGATAACCGTGAATGTAATTTGAATCACAACCTATTGTTTGTTTGTCATTTGTCCTATGGTATCTTATTCAGCCTGCCAGGATGGATATTATGGATCTAATTGTATGTATACATGCAGCAATCATTGTAAAAATAATTTACCGTGTGACAAGGCAAGTGGGAAATGTGAAAGTTGTGCACCCGGGTACATTGGAACACTTTGTAATAATTGTAAGTAAGATCCGTATTTTTAAAACAATGAAGTGTAATCTAAACTTGCAAATGTTTCTTCAATTGTAGTTTTTTTAATAAAGAGGAGATATATTATACGTTTATATACCATCATAAAAAAACAAAATAACGATAGTTTTTCTTGTTTCTTACAGCATGTTTAACAGGAACGTATGGTCAAAATTGTTCGGAGAACTGTAGTATCAAATGTCGAGGTCTAAATTGTTTCCATGAAAATGGTTTCTGTACGAATGGATGTGAAGATGGATATCAGGGAAATACCTGCATCAAAAGTATGTCGATACCAGTAGGAAATCCGATCAATTAACACTAGATATAGATAAATTACGCTTCGATCTTTTAATAAATAACACAGGCTTTCTTTAAGATAAATAAGACATGTAATACACAACAATTTAAGTTTTACAGGCACACCCTTAAAACAAATTGTAGTACGTGTTATATCGAATCATAAAGTTAAGAGAAAAACTGCCATCGTAAATATTACAAGGATGCATTATTTTATAAGCGATTAGACATATTTAATTTATGGCATTATTGTTTTTCAGATTTTATATTAGAGGGAAGTTTTTCGATACTATTATAAAAGCAACCTTAAACAATATATAACGGTCTAGGATAAATATGATGTTATCCAAGAGCATTGGTTCCCTAAAGTTCCAGGATAACAAATTCCATTATTTTATTTTCATTTGTTTTTACCGCGCTAAACATAAATAATATTTGTAACATTTCGTCTATGCATATTCTTTTCTTGCTCACTGAGCTGAAAGCTCAGTTGAGCCTTTCTGATCACTTGCAGTCCGTCGTCTGTCACTCTGTAATTTTTTTTTACAGTTACATCTTCTTCTCAAGCACCATTCCGCCAATTTTTAACCATACAAGGTACAAAGCATCCTGAAGGGGTGAAGGGGTGTGTAAATTAAATGAAGGGTCAAGTACCCTTACAAAGGAAAATAATAAAAAAAGACTAAAATAGGAGGAAGACATTTAAAGTATTCTTCTCATCAACCACTGGACCATGAAGTTTAATCTTGTGTAGAACCATTCATCCCTGGGTGGTCTAGATTCTAATTCTTCAAATCATGACCCCCGAGTGTAGTGCAGAGCTTCAATAGGGAATCCTATTTTTATATTGAAATATATGTTTTCATTCTTCTTTGCCTTTTTAAAGAGTGCAATGAAGGATGGTATGGGGAAAACTGCTCCAGACGTTGCAGCTTTAACTGTCAAAGGGAACTGTGTCATAATGTACATGGAGAGTGTAGCTATGGATGTAACCCAGGATGGACAGGTTCAAACTGCAATCAATGTATGTACAGATAATATGAAGAAATTAAAAAGTAATTGAATTGTAAAATTTTTTAAAGAATTCCAAATAATTCACTTGAGAGACTGGCAAAACATAAAACTCTATATCGGTAAAAATTGAAGCATATAAAATTGTTAAATAATATGCTGCCATGCAAATTTATCGGCGGTTCGAGAGAGAGAGAGAGAGAGAGAGAGAGAGAGAGAGAGAAACTTAATATATAATGTGTTGGATATGTTTCTTTTTGCAAATTAATGTCAAAATATTTAATTTATCCCTTTATGTCAAGGCCAGATAATATAAACAATAACATGGATGTCTTATTTAAGTTGTTATCATGTGACTAATAAAGACTCTTTCAAATAAAAAAAAACAAGACGTGTTTGTGAAACACTGATGCCCCTGTATGGCAACATAGCAAAGGTTAAGCTTTCCCAAATCCAGATCAAATATGTCGGTACCTAAGCAAGGCTTTTCAGAAGAAATACATATGTGAAATATAAAACCCTAGCACCACCTGTTCAAGGTTAACATTTTTAAAGGTAGGACAAACTCCCGAGTCCAATAAAAGGTTTTCTCACAAGGATTACATATGTTAAGTATGAAAGCTCAAGCCCTTACCGTTCAAAAGTTATGATCAAGGTTTTAGTTTTTTTGTAAGTACAGAAATCTCCAATGTCAAGGTCAAAAGTCAAAATTCTTGGTTTCAAATGAAAGGACTTTTCAAAACAAATGATATTTGAAATATGAAATTCCTAGTATCTACCCTAAAAATTAGAGCCAAAGTGACAATTTGCAAATTTTGTGTAAAAATGGGTCAAAACGTGGTAAAAATGGGCCAAACACCAAGATCAAGGTCAAAGGGTCAAGGATCTTGGTATCAAATGAGAGGTCTTGTCACAAGAATTAAATATTTGAAGTGAGAAAGCCCTAGTCCTAACCCTTAAATAAATATAGCCAAGGTTGTATTTTTAAAGGAGGCGTCAACACCAAGGTCAAAGGGTCAAGGTTCTTGCTATCCAATGAAACGTCTTCTCACAAGAATTACATATGTGAAAAGTCAAGGTCAAAAGGTCAAGGTTGTTGGTATCCAATGAAAGGTCTTTTTTTTACAAAGAAAACATTCGTTAAGTATAAATGTCCTGGTATCTACTGTTCGAAAGATATGGCCAACGTGAAAGTTCAAAATTTTTGTATAAATTTGAGTCAAACTCAAAGTTCAAGGGCAAAAGGTAAAATTTGGTGGTACCCAGAGAAAGGTCTTGTCCCAAAAAATAGACATGTGAAATATGAATGCCATAGCTCAACTAAATCAAAAGTTATGGACAAGGTTAAAGTTTTTGCGGACAGACGGACAGCTAGTATAGACAGACTGACGGACAGATAAATGAGATTTGATGTCCCCTCGATTTTGCGAAAGCGGTGGACAATAACTGAAATTAAAACTTTACAAATTCATCACTAATGCTTTACTAATTAGTCAGATGATACTAACTTTTATAACAATTCCTTATAATATTAACCTAATTTATCATTTTCGGAGTAATATGAATACGTTTAACACTATAGATTTACGCTTTCATTCTAAGTTTGAGTATAATGATATTTTAAGTGGCAAATATTATAAAGATTAAGGATGGTTGCAGAAAAATTTTGCACATAAAAGAAAGATTTCATTGTTATGCTCCGGTAAACGAAATTTCAGCGGTATATATTTTTTGTCGTTCACGTCCGTCTGTCTGTCTCTCTGTCTGTTTGCGTGTTTGTCCGTCCGTCACAACAACGTTAACCTTGGCAATAACTTTTGATAAAGTAGAGCTATGACTTATATATTGGGTACCACCAAATTAGACCTTTTGACCTTGACCTTGGAGTTGACCCACTTTAACACAAAAATTCCGAACTATGTTGCCTATAGAATTTACAAATATAAGATGTACTGTCGACTAAATTCCTTAGATGAAACTAGCTATAACATTTTCAATCATGTTGAATGGTCAATTTTTTCTATGCTTCCATTCTGAAAAATTTGAACTCTCTTGTAGACTACAAACTTTTTAAAAATTTTGCATAAAATTTCTGAAGGTAATATTACCATATTGTTTGTAATGTAATTTTCCTGCTATATATATTTCACTGTTTGTTTGTATGAAGAAATGAAAATAAATAAATAAATAAAAAAAAAAATTCCGAACTATTACTTTGGCCATAACTTTTAAATAGTAGATACTAGGACTTTCATATTTCATATACGCATTTCTTGTGACAAGGCATTTCATTGGATAACAACAACCTTTTCCTTTTCACCTTAACCTTAGAATTTTTTATACTTGTGAAAAAATTTATTCTCGGCCATAACCTTTGAACAGAAAGGAAAAGGGCTTTCATATTTCACCTATGTTATCTTTGTGAGAAGACCTTTCATTGGATACAAAGAACTTTCACCCTTTGACTTTGACCTTGAGGTTTTATACACTTTTACACAAAAATTCCGAACTTTTACTTTCGCCATAACTTTTGAATGGTAGATACTAGGACTTTCATATCTCACATATGTATTCTTTGTGGCAAATTCTTCTATTGAATACCAACAACCTTGACCTATTGACCTTGAATATTTATGTACTTGTGAAAAAACTTTTACTTGATCATAACTTTTGAACGGTAAGGGATAGGACTCTCATACTTCACAGACATTTAATATGTAATCCTTGTAATAAGACCTTTCATTGGAACAAAGAACTTTAACCCTTTCATGACCTTGGAATTTAACTTTCTTTTAAAAAACAAACGTTGACCATTATTATTAAAGGGTAAGGGCTAAGGCTTTCATGTTTCACATATTTAAACCTTGTGACAAGACCTTTCATTGGATATCAAGAATGACCTTGACTTTGGAGCTTGACCCCTACTTTTAATAAAAAAAAAACTTCAAGTAATAATATATTTAATTTGCAATTAAGAAAAGTTGAATCTTCGATGTAATTGCCATACGGTGTCACCAGGTTCGCTTCCTTATAACTTTTGATTGAGAAGAGATAGGGCTTTCATATCTAACATGTGCATTACATGTACCTATATGTGACATTTTTGACACAATATGTCATTGAAAATGACATCCCAGCCACAAAGACACCGAAAACGGGGGACGACATTTCTTTGAATTTGCTTGTTTAATATGAAATGCATTACCGGCAACCATACACTTACATGATCAAAGCCATAATATTTCAAAATTATGCAAAGCTATATTTAATCTATAATCGTGATGTGTTGAGATAATGCCCACAATAAAACGTCATATAAGAGTCAATGTTTACCTCTAAGTGTTAGATAAAATAAAAAATATTATGCATAAAAAGTTGTTTTTCAAAAGTATTTTACACAATGGTGTTTATTTTGACAGTTTGCCAAAAGGGGTTTTATGGAGAAAACTGCTCAAGAACATGCAGTTCGTTTTGCAGAGAGCAACTTCGTTGTAACAACGAAAATGGGAACTGTTTCAATGGCTGCATGGATGGATACATAGAACCAAAATGCAATGAAAGTGTGTTTGACTAAGTAGTTCATATTTTTCTAAATTCCGCTTCACAAAACAAAGAATGTGCTTTAATGATAATATGGATGTACTTTAAATCATACTATTTTAAATAATGAACGTCTGAATTGCTCTTCTTTATAAATTGTCTTTATTAAGCAAACAAAAATATGGAAATAATAGTCTAATTTCATAAGGTTGCATCGGAGGGTGGTATGGAAAAAACTGCTCTGAACCTTGTAATGAAAACTGTGTAAATCAGGCCTGTGATCATAAAGATGGTATGTGTGTGTTTGGATGTACACCAGGCTGGACGTCTGCCAACTGTTCTAAAGGTATGAATTCAAGACAGCAATCAGTTGCATTTCTGTAATAAACTGTGTAATATTTTATAAAGAAATTACACTTCATTTTAAGTCAAGTTCATTTAAACTGAATATGGAAATTCTAGTCCTACTTTAGTAATTTAATGTGTTATACCTTTTGTAGCCTGTGAAAAAGGATACTACGGCAAAAACTGCTCAAAAACCTGTTTCAATTGCCTAAAGAATGATTGTGTACCTCTCAATGGGACCTGTATTCATGGATGTGACGACGGATACATAGGCCATAATTGCGAAAAACGTATCTTTTCTTTATTATACCGATTATTTTAATAGATACTTTTTTTTCAAATTGGAGCAAACTAAACGTATCTTCTTGTTTTAGAAAGTCTTATTCTATTGTTCTTGCGAAACGTTTTTTTTTTCTTAAAGCTTGCGATGTAGGAATGTATGGGAAGATGTGCTCCAATTCATGTAATCAAAATTGTGCCTACAAGTCATGTAACAACACCGATGGTGGATGTAAGCATGGCTGTGAGGCAGGATGGATGGGTTTTAACTGTTCTGAAGGTACGTTGTTAGGCTTGAAAAATGCTAAACTACAAGTGTTATTTACACCACATTTTATGATCCATATATCCATATCTCATGGTTCAAAATACTTCACAGTAAGGGAAGTTGTACATAGAAGTTCCTAAAATCTTAAACTTTATTTTCAAGAAAGTAATCACAATTAAAACGTGTGATTTTAAAAGTTTTCAAAACGGAACAAAATATTTATTCATATTACAGATTTCTTTAGAATATCATTCAACCCCCTCCCCAATTACTTAGAATCAATTCTCATACGTCTTTATCTTACAGTTGTACGTTAATAGTTGCATGACAATTGTAGAATTATTTTATATCAACATTGTTTAATTATGAAAGAATATTGCATATATTTTTAAAGAATTTTATGTAGGATACGGAACATCCTATATTCATTAAGCTTTTACAGTTCTTACTTGACTGTGTGAATGCACATATAACATGGTTCCTTACAAATTAAATTTTTTTAATAGAATGTATGCTTGGAAGGTATGGAGAAAATTGCAGAAAAAATTGTGGTAGCTGTGCAGAAAACGAAACCTGTGATAGGTTTAATGGTACTTGCAGAAATGGATGTACAAAAGCATTCACAGGAGAAAAGTGTAATGATAGAGGTAACATTTGATTTCTGAAGGTGAAATAATCCATAGTAAATAGTTATTTGTGTTATTATGGTATTCCATAGTTGTTATTCTGCTAATTACCTTTCAATCTTTTCACGTTTACGTTTTAAGTCGAATTGAACTTAACGTTCTTTGTATGTGATAATCTCAAACTGTCGATACCATAATGATTCAGGTCAGATCACAAATGAGATTTATTTATCATTTCATTGATTTATTATAATTATTATTTTTTATTCCTTGGGAAAATGTTGATGTTAAACTTAATGTCTCAGAAATGAAACGTTTTACGTGTAGCTTGATTTTATAATTGTCAAAATTTTGCATTTTTCAACTTTTAACTCAGAAAGGTTATGGAGGTAGCAATTTATCTATACAATATGTGCACATAGCGGGAATTTAACGATTATGCATGCAACTGATCCTAAATAAATGTAAAAATCCTTACAGTGAATAACTCCTATATCCTATAACATTTAAATATATGTCTGATTTCAAATGTTAAATAAGTTCTTCTTTATCACTAAATTACAAAAATGAAGCAAAATATCGTAAAACAAAATAATATAATTTAACATCGATTAAAAACATATTTGCAAAATACTTTTACAAGAGTAACTTTGATTTGAGTCAAGTTTTCCAAGGTAGCCAGTAACGAAAAATTCTGTTGCTGAATAAATTCATTTATCTAAAAAAAAAAAAGATAAAAAATGGAGAATTCTTTCAATATTAACAACATGTAAGTCCTTAAGATAACAAATATACCCAATAATCTCGTCTTGCGAAATTAGAATTTTGATATACTACATTTTTTTATTTCTTTCAGTGTTGACTTTGAGGAAGACAGCATTAGAGAGAGAGGCGGCAGATAACGGTGTTCTGGGCGGTTCATTGGCTACATGCTTTCTCTTAATAGGAGCTGTTGTGATCATAACTTTATTTATCATTCGGTACTTGCACTGTAATTTAATCAGTAATTTTTTTGTTTTATATCATAAAATATATTGTTAAATTTTTTGGCATTGTTTAGACTGGTTTTCTCTCTGTGTCTGACCTTTCATGGTACCCCAAAAGATCGATTGTTCTATGGTCGTTCGATAAACAATAAGTAGCATGAAATATATGGAGATAACGAACAGAACTCAAGCCCAAACATTAAGACAATACCAAATAGGAACAGAGCAAAAACGGACCTTCAAAATCTCAGTGGGGTTAAGTGCCATGGAGGATTAACAATTGGCAACAATTGGAAAATGTGTGGAACCTTCCGATGAGACCTTGAAAACTGTGAGTTCCCGTGTCACAGTAGGAGTTGGCACGATAAACATCCCTCTCTGCTAAATGGCCCTGATTGGTAACGTCTCTACATGATTGGAGAACTCGCGAATTGGACGTAACATAACGTACCATCAATTAATCAGTCTCTGTATGTATATGATTAAACTTGATTCAAGTGTTTGCTTTTGTATACTATCTATTACAGTTGTATATCTAAACAGGATTTGAAAGACACAAAGGTCACATTAAATCGCAGAGAAAATAACCAATGACTTAAAAATGCATTTACATACTAGTATGCATATCATTTGTGGTTCTACTGTAGAATAGACAACAAACAAAAGGTTAACCTATAATTTAAAGAAAAGTTTTAATAAACAAAAGGTAATTTTAGAAATATTATCAAATTTCTAAAATATTCTTAAATATTCATTCTTGATACAAGGGTAATTTACATGTAGTAAGTAACATTGGATGTCTTTATCTCGATTTAAAGTCATTTAAAAAGAAGAAAGGAAATTGATAGGGGTTTATAAAATATTGCTTTTAATTATGAATTTGAGCATGTATATGAAAGCCCATTAATTGTTCAAACTAAAACAATAAAGTTGACGATATGTGTGTTCTCGATGACAAAAATTATTTTCTTTCTTATAAAATTAACTTATCCTTTCATACGTCATATAAGTATTTTAGAGTGATTGAAAGATTGTTGTTTTACGACCCGTTGAAGAATTTTTCAATCAAACAGAGACTTCTATTTTTATGACAAGGTTTTGAACATTTCATCAAAAGACTCAAAATTTTCGTTTTAAAGGACCGAGCGCTTAGTGAAGAAACAATTGCTGTCTACCTTCATAGAGTTGCGGCCGAGGTTTAAACTCACGACCTTCCGAATGAGTTGTTCTTCCACTGAATTATTTGTACAGTCTTGTATTTCAAAACTATATTATTTTCTTAGTGCAAATACATGCAAGTTAAATAAAAAGGTTTCCTTTTTTAAATAGATTAATCAATTTACCTTTGTTTTGCAGGCGGAAGAGAAATATCAAGGGAAAGGACACTTCAAATCGACAACAAAGTTCAGTCGCATTGACTTCAAATGGTAGTGTTTTTTATTCAATCGATAAAATCATTGAATGAACGATTGTAATTAAATTAAGATTTAATCTAAACATAAAAAAAGACTTAATTTGTTTTGTCCAAGCATATTCAAGCATTAACTTATAAAAGTTTTGTAACTCTAGAATTTCAACAGTGTAGAAAAATCACGATATGTACTTTTATATCTTATGAATATGAAATTTTTCAGATGAATGTTATCTAGGAGAATTGTGTGTTGAAACGTTGTTTTTGTTTTCTATCAGGCCATGAAGAAATTGAAATAAATGGCTTTGACAACGTAGTCTTTAAAACACAACCTGTACCAGAAAAGATTTCTCCAAAGCACAAAACGATAACAATTTTGGAGTTAGAGGAAAGAATAAAGTTCATGTCTGACAATGAGAATGCTTCTTTTAAAAAAGAATATGAGGTATGAAAACAAATAAGAGTTCATTTGCAATTTTTTAAGTAATTATCTAATCAATCAATAACATATTTAAAAAAATCAATAACATGACATTCAAGTTATACATATATGAGTATCTGTATTTTCATAATGATTCCTTATCTTGCAAAAAAAAAAAAATTAGAACAAATTTTAGTAAACTTAATTTAAATTTCATTTACTAAAATGTTATTGTTCTGAATTAAGAAAATACCAAAAGGAGAATTATATCCTTGTACTGAAGGGAAAAAACCTGAGAACGTCTCAAAAAATCGATACACGACAACTTTTCCTTGTAAGTATGTATTTGCTTTTATATCATAAAAATCGTCAGGTTAAAATTTCAGAGTATGTTCTGAAACCTCTCTTTATAACTTGGATTTTTTATTATCTCATTACGTGATATAACACACACAATATACTGCTTTGTAAATTGAATGATGTTACATAGTATTCTCTCATGTTCTGTTATCACCTTTTTAATTCGAACTTCAGAATTCTAACATTGAATACGTTTATTAGGATGTTTATGATTAAGCTATAATTATTATTAAGTACATATGTTTTTCTTTTTTTTATTATTCTAAACCATACCGTACAATTTATAGATGACCATTCGAGAGTTATCCTAAAGAAATTAAATCCTAAGGAATCAGACTATATCAATGCAAACTACATTGAGGTGAGTTTTTACAATTCCTAGCAAATATTTACTTTCACTGTATATTTCCTCGTTTTTCCTTTTTGAAAACAAGACCTTCTTCATATGAACCATTAACAACAATTTATAGGCATGTTTTAATTAAAGCCATTTGAAACTCTAAACATAAAAGAGATGTTGGAAAGCCAACTTTTTCATGCTTATTCATCAATGTGTGGACTGTATATTGTTTTCTCTGGGTTTTTTTTCGCTAATTTGGTATGAAAAACTTAAAACAGATATAAATAATGCTATTTTTAAAACACATTTCTTTTGTTTTTGAGTAAATTTAACCCGTCTATAATGTAATCCAAGCTTGCGTAAAGTGTCTTATGCTAAGTCATATTATAAATTTATCTTCTGTTTGCTTGAAGAATGCACAAGGACGAAGGGCTTATATTGCCACACAAGGTAAATTGAAAATTAAATATTGATTTAATATGGACGATTGAAATTTTAAACCAAAAATGAGTCAATTATTAGTGATATATATTTTTGTATTATTTGTTTATTAAGGGCCAAAACCAAAGACCATTGCAGACTTCTGGAGAATGGTTTGGCAAGAAAATGTTTCTATCATCGTTTGTCTAACTAATTTAAAAGAAGGCATGAAGGTAAAGTACAATTAATTTAGATTATAATAATTATAACATATACTATATGTGCAAGCAAAAATATTCTCATTAAACTTAGAATAAGTCATTCTTTCTCCTTTTAACCGACATAATCGTTTTTCTTTTCTTTTACTTTTTAAAGTAAAATCAATATTATCAGTTGAATCTTTTTTCATTTAGACGAAATGTGCCCTGTATTGGCCAAATGTTAACGACAAAATTCAGAACGGCCAACTGTACGTGAGGCAACAAGATGAGAAAGTTTACGCAAACCACACAATAAGAAAATTACGGATCCAAAATACTGTTGTGAGTTGACCAATAATTTTGAATCATTCATTTAAATAATCTTATATATTTATAAATATTTTTATGTTGAGTATGATGAATGATATACTTGTATATTATTTCGAGATTTTCCACAAAATTTTCATAATGAATGCACAAGTTCTTGAAAACACTCCATGGATATCATTAATTTTTTCAAACTATTTAATCTTCATTGGGTAGGAAAATACTGAGCGTGACGTCATAATGTTCCACTATACACAATGGCCAGATCACGCGGTCGCTGATCCATTAAGTCTCGTAGTATTTCATCGTCACGTGATGAGGATGTCTGCAATTTACTACGCGGAATATTCATTAGTTCACTGCAGGTATGATGCTATTTATAAAAGATATACCCATTGTGTTTGAAATTTTTGCCTGATCTAAGTATTTTTTCTAAAGCTTATAAATAATCAATATTTTTCCTTTTTGGATTTTCATGTGAAATTTGACTGACACTTAACTATTCCCAATTTCACTCTGCTTTGAAGGACACAGAATTCTTGTTTCAGAAATATCGAAAAATGTAACTGCAAATATATCAAATTGCAATAAAATAATCTCTATGAAAAACATAATGAAAGCTTGTCAATCGTGATATTTATTTTTTTTTATTTGAAAAAAAAAGTGCAGGTGTAGGAAGAACAGGGACATATATTGCACTTGACGCCCTCTATCGGCAAGCTGACGAAACAGGAAAAATTAATGTACCAAAATATTTAGAAACTATGAGAAAAGACAGAATGAATATGATACAGGGCGAGGTATTACATTAACAATTTTTGATAGCATCATCGATTAAACATTTGATTTAAAATATTTAATTATAAATTTTAAAAGTTTAAAATTATTTATAAACACCATGAATCACTTTCAACTCAAAAATTGTACATAATTTTAATATACAGGATCAGTACAAAACAGTTTACTTGGCGTTATACGAATCGTTCAGAGGAAGAGCAAGATCTATCTCTACAGACAGATTTCTAGAACAATTCCAGGAGCAGAGCTGTCACACCAATCTTGGACATGTGGCCAACAAATCTCCCTTATCTGCTGAATTTGAGGTGATTGTTGTTCAAATAAATGTTATATATCTTATAACAGCCCACCTGACTTAATAGATTGCAAGCTTCTTGTTCTGTCTCTATTTATCGTATGTCCGTAAATTAGACATCTTAAGAATCATGGTATAGATTCAAAACAACTTTTGAACATATTATCCCTTACGATAGATTTTTTTTGCTTTGTGTTATGAAATGTTTGTGAAAATTCAATTTTTTTTGTAAGCAGCATTGTGATTACTATAGACAGATTTGTCTGCAATTTGCTGGCCACCTTAATTTGTATGAAAAAGAATCTTTCAAAAAGAATCTTCCTTCAAATCAGCAAGCATATGATAAAGCATGTCGATACACTATACAATCTATGCAAGCAAACTATGTGGTGCAGTTTCAAGTTTATTCAAAACATGGTCACGGGCACCATGATTGGATCTCAACAGAGATGAAAGTTTTGGGGAACAGAATTAAGTCATTACTTTAAGAACAAGAAAACCATCATTAATCTTTTAATTCCACATGAAATCATCAAAAAGAGGGCAGAATTTGAGTAACTGGTACACTAGGTACAGACTGGGTTTTAACATTTTAACAGGATTTTATGATTAAAATCCTTTCAAAATTTTCGTCTTAAAACAGCAAAGCCACGACAATCCATATTGTATGCAACCTTTCTTAAGAGATACATCCAGTTTTCCGTTTTGCATCGGAGTAAATAATGGATTCAAATTCACAACAGATATTAATAAACATAAGTTTAAAATTGATTGAATTCATTTTCTTATATAAATGGACACAAGGCTAGGTGAAGTCAAAAATCGGGAATCAAAATTTACATAATACGTAAAAATCTTTTCAAAATCTTCTTCTAAAGTTAGTGTCATTGCAGCCCATGGACATCTTGTTTAGTGTTTTATGAAAACGTTCATCTTTCATTAGCATTTCTTACATATATGTCATATCATCTGCAGTTTTTATAAAATTTGATTTTGTTTTATTAGGAGTTATTCTCTTTGAGAAAAGAATATTTCGAGACAGATTACGAATTTGGAAGAAAGAATATGGAGGCAAACTTATCTCCCAATATATTGCCTGGTAATTAAATAAAAAGTTTGAAAGTATTTTTTTTTCTTTTTGATTGATCTTACAAGGCACGTTATAATTGAAAGTGATCTATATTTCAATAAGACTTTCAGACATTTATACAAAAATCGTTATCAACCGTTTATACATGCATTTACTCTCTTATTACAATCTATTGTAGTTGATGCGTATATGTGTCATATGGTTGACTCAAAGGGAGCAAGGAGATACTATAATGCAATTGTATTACAGGTATATATTTAATGAATATACCTGTTAAATTGATTAATTTTCGTCTCCGATTATAAATTTTCTTAAAATTGACAAATTGAGAAACAATATTATTATGAATTTCTAATTTCAGTCTTTCACGAGGAGTGACTGTCTTATTAGCGCCCAATTTCCGCTTCCGGATTATGTAGAAGACTTCTTGAGTCTCGTGAGAGCGTTTTATACTCCAATCATTGTTTCATTATTTCCATTGAGAGAGTTTCCATCGGTAAATGAATTCAATCGTCTATTTTCATTCATGACAGAAAATAACTCAAAGAATAACAGTTACAGTCGAAATAAGTTTGAAACATAAGAGCTGCAGTGTGAAATTAAGCAAAATTGGTTATGGAATAATCGCTTTTGTTTACATTTTATTTTATTATAATAGACCCTTTGCAAAGGATTCTCTTTAATTGTTTAATTTCTCTAATTGTTTTCCTTTTATCAACTTCTAGTCTTCGTTTTGGGTCCCAAGGAAGAATGAAAACAAAACAGTAGGAGAACACACCACCAAATTTTCAGATTGTACCAAAATGCCAAGCATCATCAAAACCAATATCGTATTGCACTCTAAGGTTTGAATCAACATACTAGATAAATTAATTGTTTCATTGAATTAAATAAAGAATATTTTTTCAATCCTTTTTGTTTTTCACCTATAACCTATAGGTGGGAAGTGATGTTCGAGTTACAATACTAGAAAGCACCACCTGGAAAGGTGAAAACGATACAACTGGTAGAAGAATCTTAATTGATTTGATTAAAGAGGCAAAGATGGAAGAGACCACTTACCCTGGTGCAAGGATTCTTGTACTATCAAGGTATGTCTTATATAAGTCATCATGATTCTTCTGAAAATGAGTAAAATAGCAGGAATAGAAATTAATATGCACCCATTTCTTTATCTACTACACTATTTTCTATGTCTTATAAGTCATCCTGGTTTTCAAAATACAATAAAGAACTCAAGAGAATTAAAATACATATTCAATTGTCTTTTTGAAATTGACTATATACTAGCATTTAGAAGTTCAAATGTGTCATAAAGTACTAAAATCATTTATGAACTAAATATTTTGTTAGTGATGGTGCAAAGCGCTGTGGACAATTCTGTGTTGTATACAATGCACTGGAACAAATGTCCATGGATGGAGAAGTGGATATATTTACCATAACACGACAGCTACAGATCCGTCGTCCTGAGTTTATAAACAACTTGGTAATCCTTCACAAAATTTTTTGATATTTTTTTAAAATTTAATTTCTTGCTAGTAATTCTTTTCATATTTTTAGGAGGATTACCAATTTTGTTATGATGCCGTTGCTGATTACCTACAAAATGATACAGTGTATGCAAACTGCTAGAAACAAAATTTTGTGGAACCTTGATTTTATCATATTTTATTGTAATTTAACTTTTAGGAATAAGCCTAGTGGAATTTTAAAAAGTGACTTGACTATCGAATATTAAAACGTGTGTTAGTGATAATGAATTTTACAAAGGTTTCTCCGTTTTCTGATAATATTTCTACAAACTGTGTTCTTGCGTTTTTATTTTCATTCGTTTTCCCTTTAATCAGAAAGCTTATATAATGTTTTTCTTGTAACGTTCAACGACTGTGTGTCAAGTCATTACCAAATGTTTACTTGTACCCGAAAACACAAAATGAGAACAAAATTTTAACGAAAATAAATTTAACATGTGCATATTTACAAACACTTGAATGTATGATATACAAGTTCATAGACTTGATACAAATGTTGTTTTATAATCAATGTTATTTTCAAAATGTGAGTGATCTTAAATTTTGACTTGACTTAAGTCTTGTCAGTTAATGGTCTCCCAGCACGCCTACATGAGGCTGAGATTTAAATCTGAGACTGTCATAAATATCGATCCCAAATGTGTGCTGGGTCAGTTTTACGGCCCCAGAGCCAGGTCTCTTGTAACGGGTTGTTTTCCTGTGAAAAGGTTTAACTCAATTGTCATTCCTGTCTCATACCAGTGTATGGCTACCGCAAGTAGACTCGGCTCTAATAAAGTCTCTTAAATTCATTTCAGTACTTTTCTTTATTTTTTATCATTTTTATTTTGTTTGTATGTCTTTTTTCTTCGGGGTTGGGGGTGGTTGTGGTTGGGAATACATGTAACATATTGATATATAGATAGGATGATCTTAGTAGTTTTTGCAAATCGTAAAATTTAACTACTTTCATTTATTTGGTCTGTTTTAGTGGAAATTATGGTCATTTACTTTTGGCAGTCTAACTCTCATATTATTATTACAGCACGCATGCATTTTAAAAATTGTATTCCAAATGTGTGTTATGAAAGATTTCTACAAATGAGTTGTTTTATTGTGTTGTTTAGAAAATTTTTCCCGACACAGTAACAATTCAAATTTTATGCGTGTGACACAAAACAATTTAACATGTATTTGTGATGTACAGTAATCCGAACATTTATAAATCTCTCAACATTGAATCTTTAAGGTCATGAACCTTGCCTACAGATTTATCAAATTTGAGAAATAAATTCCTTTAATGATGCTCTATAACTTAAACTTGGTCAAATAAAGTGTTTCGGGGCTTAAATTGTAGGTAAACAAGATGAAAAACCATATGTTAAACAGTCATTTTCAATGAAAAATTAAGAAAACCATTATGAATATGGTAGTTTTTTTTCACATTCGACAAAGGAAATGTAACCAGATTGCCTACAATTTCTCAGAAAACGGTAATTTGTATGTTAATGGCCTCTTCTTTAAAAAAATGTCAAAATTAATATAGGTATCAGGATTACTTTTCACATGATTTCAAATTGAATGCCATGAAAATACCTTTTTCTACATAATTCTGCTAAAGCCGTAAAGTACATGAAAAAGAAAGTTGAAATTGATTATGACGTCATAATGAATCTAGCACGACAAAATCAGTCTAAAGTAATTTACTAGATCTTGACAAAATTTTTAATCAAACAATTCTACCGTCTTTCAGTTGTAAAAGGTAGATCACTTACTTACTAAGGATTCACCTTGTATAATCAATTATCATTAAGACCCTCGCCGGACTTTACGCATGAAGAAACAAATACTAGCTATTTGTTTTCACAATTCCATGAAACGGTTAATTGGTAATTTCATTAAAGAAGATTGTATTTAAAAAAAAAAGATATTTATTTTCTACAGAGCCACGGCTCTAGAATTATGTTAGCACTGTAAGTCAAACATAACATCGTACGAAAGTCATTTAATTGATGTAAATAAATTCCTTTAAATTTTGAACATGTTCAAGGAACTCTTAAAAATATTTTACTATTCTGAAGTTTCTTCTTTTTTGTAATTCGGTAATTCGATCAGAAAACTGACAAATAATCACGGCAAATTTACTTTCAAATATGCTAAGTAGTTCGACTGTATCGACTAGAATTTCCTCTACTTTTCAGAACACGTGTTTTACTTTTATCAATATGTACGACCATACCATTTGTGTAACGAAGTAGCGAATTCTAAAAAAGTGTGTACATGTATTCTTTTGTAATTATAATGAATAGTGATACAGTTGCGCATTATATATTAAACAATATTTCGATGTATATCTTTGTTGAAATGGCCATGCAGTCCTTCTTGGCAGTCGAGTGGCCAGCGTGGCGCAGTGGTTAGAGCGTCTGCTCTAGAGTAGCGAAGTAAGGAGTTGATCCTTACGTCGCGGGTTCGAATCCCACTGTGGGACGTGGAGACGTGTCGATCCTTCTGGATGAGACCGCTCAAGGTCCCAAAATTTGCATGTCTAAAGAAGTATACTAAGTCCACCTGGTAAAACTATGATAACGCCATATTAAAGTTCGTTCCTTCTTTGAAAAAAACCTTATTTCTACTTGACAAAAAGGGGATCAATGGCCTTAAAGTCGTCATATTGTACGTTATCTCTATATATTGCATGTACATGGTAGATGTAAAAGTATGTTTGAAAATTTAATTTTGAATTGAATTTAAATTTGAATTGAATTTAATTTTGAATTTAAATCTAAATTTGTTCATTTATTAACATTAATTATCATCACTTTCAACATTTTGTTATTATTCAGATCAATCCAAATTTAATATGATTGAAAAGCAAATTCTACTATTTAGCTAACCTGGACTGAAAGCTCAAGTGAGGTTTCCTGATCTTATTGATAGAATAGACAGAACAACTAAATTGTACGAAGGAAATTCTAAATTTTCAAACTATTTACTTAATTGTACGAAAGAATTCCAAAATTGCTCAAACAATTTTGATTTAAAAAAATCTTTTTAACCAGTTTTAAATCACACAAACGATCTTACTGATTTTTTTTACCTTCAAAATTAAAAATGCATTTATACTTCGTCGTACAAAAATGCAGCAAATAAAACTCCAAAAATGTTTTTGTTTTAATTTTTTTTTATTTCAGCTACATGCTTAATTGTATAAGTATTTAAGAATTCAACTGCATGTTGATATATTGAGTCAATGAACAAAAATGATTCAACACTATGTCAGATATGTGTGACTCTTCTTAGCTTTGTATGAATATCAGGGTCATTTTTAAATGTGTATATTTCAAAGTGTTCAAAAATGACAGCAAAGGATATTATGCTTAAGAAAGCATACTAAAAGGAGATAAAATATTTAAACACAGTTTCAACTTTTACAGGTATTGCACATTGGATTTTTCTTCATTTAATGATTTTAAAAACTTTCCAACTCATGCTTATAAATATGTAAATATTTTGACAGAGAAAAAAAGATGATAAAAACGGTATTTTTTCTTCCTGGTCCACATTATAAGCTGTGAAAATGGAGACCGCAATTTTGTTATTTCTAATACAAATACTTGTAGCTGACTGTTATGGTAAGTACTTTACCCAATGTATAAATGTAATTTACTTCATTTATATAATGTTTAAGGGGTATTTGCAAAAATCACTTTTAAAGTCGACGTTGTACTCTTATATAATGGTGATGTAAAGAGAAAATTAAAGATTAGGGATTGAACAGACGAATAGAATCCCCTCATCATTTTGTGGCTGGAAACAGCTCTATGTTATGAAACAGATGTGATTGATTGATTGATTGTATATTGCTGAGCGTCCCATTCCATTCGAGAATTTTTCACTCATATAGAGACGTCACCGTATGCCAATGAAGGGCTTCAAATTAAGACATATACTAAGCACTTATGTAGGGCCATTGAGCAGTGAGTGTTTTTATCGTGATCTAAACAGATGTGTCATAATCTCGAATTTCTTATTCCGAGTTGAATTGGACATGCCAAAACAAAAAAAGGAAACTTTAAATGAATATTGTTAATCGATAATTGTTCTGCAGTTAGATTTGGCAATTACATCCGTATGTTCTTCTTCCCTCTGATAAGAAAGATTCGCTATTTATTTATCAAATCCATATATATATATATATATATATATATATATATATATATATATATATATATATATATATATATATATATATATATATATATATATATATATATTCCCGAAAACACAAAATCTGCCCTAAATAGAAAATTGCAACGCTTAACATTTATCCACTGAATTGAGTGAAAGCAAGCAAGGCTTTTTCCCGCATTATTTGTCTAATTGTTAACGTAATAAAGTAACATAATAACGTCTTAATGAACTGTACTAAAGCGCAACACTTATTTGACGATACATGACGTCACAATATACTTTGAAATATTTGTATTTATAGCAATATGTCAAAACTCCTGATGATACAATTGAAACCGATAGAGTTTTAATCGGCGATCTGATATTTTTTACTCTCTCTCTCTCTCTCTCTCTCTCTCTTGGACCTTTGAGCTTGAATACTGTTCATTATTTTCATTTATTTCATTACGACAGATTGTTAACAATATCACTCAGAATCTTCTTATCCTTTTATACATGAAAAAAAAAGATTATTAAATATCATGACCATAAGTATTATCTTAACTGCTTCTACATGAAAATCTATAAAGCAAGTCAGATACTTTTTTTTTGTATTATTGTCGTTTGCTTTTCGCAAAAAGGTAATAACGCAGTTTTGAAAAAAAAGTATAATTTTGTTAAATTGCAGAAGTCGGTATTGAAAAATGTTCATTCGGAGCAATGTGCATAACCTTTGAATTCACTCTTTGCCCCGACGTGCCTTAAGGTCAAGATCTAATAAATAACTGGAGACTAATCTTTTGGTGCTAGATCCATTATGACGTTATAATCAATTTCAACTTCCTTTTTCCCGTACTTTACGGCTTTAGCAGAATTATGTAAAAAATAGGGTATTTTCATGTCATTTAATTTGAAATCATATGAAAAAGTAAACCGGATACCAATATTAAATTTGATATTGATTTAAAGAAGAGACCATGAACATACTAATTACCGTTTTCTGAGAGACTGTAGGCAATCTGGATACATTTCCTTTGCCAAATACGAAAAAAACTCCCATATTCATGACTGGTTTTCTAATTTTTTCATTGCAAATGACAGTTTAAGATACGGTTTTTCACCTTGTTTACTTACATATTATGCCCCGAACCACCTTATTTGACTAAGTTAAAGTTGTAAAGCATCAATAAAAGAATTTATTTCTCTAGTTTGATAAATCATTTACTAGATCTTGACCTTAATTAAATGAGTGGTCTGCATGCAGATATGAAGAGCACTTTTTTTTTCTTTAGGTGTCCATAACATCATTACAATTATTCCAAAACACATCTACATATTTTATTAAGTGATTAGAAATCGCCACTTTTAGTTTCAATTTATTAACTGAAACATCTTTCAATTTATTAGACTGAAACACTGCATCTAAATTGCTCTCATCTTTGTGAAATTGAAAAGAACCAATCCGCAATTGATGATAAAACACTAAGCCCTGAGTAATTAAGATATAAAATTGACCAACTGCACAAATGACTAAAACTGATGATAAATTTATCATTTTGGAATAAGAAAGTACAATATAATACATTGTCAATTGCGAAATAATGCAAGTAATTTAAAGGCAGACTTACATAACCAATTTTTATCAGAAACACCAATGTGTGAATACTGTATTGACTCTGTCGAAGATGCTCATCATTATTTTTTTGCTTGTCCAAAGTATGACTCTCCAAGAAATGTACTTTTCCAAACAATTCAAAATATTAGTGATTGTGATCAAACTCATGATCTTGATTTAATTTTGTATGGTAGTCCCAACCATGGACTAGGTATTAATACTCAAATATTTGAAGCAGTACATGCTTTCATCGCAGCATCCAAACGTTTTATTTGACACTGTCAATTTGTATGTTACTTATGCCAATGCTCTCTAACCGGTACATGTATTACACTGAATTTTTTTTTCTCTTTCTATTTTTTTTCTTTTGTTTCTTTGTTACTATGTTTGTGTATTTATTTCCATATTGTGTGTTCATCTTGACCTTGTAGGGAGAGGGCTAAAATAGGCTTTGCCTGCTGCCCAATCCCATTCACTTATGTGAATAAAATTTTGTATAAAAAAAAAATGACTAAAACTATTACATAAACTTATACAACAAATAATTCGCTTGACTTTAAACAAAAATTAAAGACAACTGACTACTTAATCATATTGACTACCCGCATGACATAATTTTTACTAATCTCATGATATAACAGCCCAGTCAATAGTATAATGGTAAAAAAAACTTTTAAAAAGCAAAGAGTTGGTGCAGAAAAAACATTAAGAAAGGAAACAAGCTGCCTACAGTACGTGACTGTAAATTATATTAATAATTTTAGGTCCATTCATCATGTGTTCTTACTGATATGCAGTCATGGGCAGGTTAGTATACATGCTAATGCTAGAATATTTCGATAAAAATTTAAAGACAAAAACAGACGTACGTATTTTATAGTTTGTGTTCTCTAGGGTCATTTTAACATTTAATTTGTTCTAGATCGAAAGGATTCTTTAATAAATATGGAAAAGAGAAATCAGGATAACCTATAAAATCAGCAAAAGAAACCGAAAAAAAAACACGATCCGCATCAAGTTATACCACCATTTACATAAAAAAAAATTGGAGTATTATATTTCACAAACATCTTTTTATATATATAATTTTTCATTGAGTCGTTTTGGTTTAAATTACACTGAGAGATAACATAGCTGTTACTTCCGGGTTGATTTTGACATGGAGTTTCTCTTTGTATCTTTGCTCTTGCAAATATTCTCCACCTATGGATATGGTAAGTGCTTTCACTATGATTTGATTGAGTATTTTAATCTTTAAATGACATTACAGAGTAAGTTAGAAGTGGCTTATATAAATTCCTCGCAAACTTCAAATTACAAAGTGTTGACCTACTTATAAAACTGCCTGTGAAGAATAATTTATAAATTATCATAAAAAAATATATGCAGAACATTTACTTTATTTACTCGTCATAGAAACACAAAAAAGAAAAAAAAATGAACAAATCTTTGTCCCTAAATAGAAGTACTGTTCAGAAGAGTATGGAATATACTGCGCATAAAGAACAACATAGTTTATTTTAACTATGTGTACTGTACCTGACATTTTAAGTGTTTGCATACAAATGCTTTTTAAAAGTTCCTTAAAACTTCAATATTGTCGCCATTCTTTATGAAGAGACTGATAAAAGTCTCCCCCCCCCCCTTCCCCCCGCGCCAATGGAAGATTCGGGGGTACATGTATAAAGCTTTTGCCCTGTCTGTCTGTTTGTCTGTAAAAATTTTAAACTTGTCCATTATTTGGGTGGGTTGTGTTATGGCTTTCGTATTTCAAAGGTATATTTCTTGTCATGAAACCATTCGTTTGGTATCACCAAATTTGACCTCGAGACCTTGATTTTTGAGTTTGACCCGCTTTTACCAAAAGTTTCCAAACAATAACAAGGCCATAGACGTGGAACAGTTGATGCTTGCTTCATACTTCACATATGTTTTCACTTTGACGTTTCGTTTGGTATAACATATTTTACCTTTTGATCTTTACCTTGGAGTTTGGACATTTTCAACCTCGACCATAACTTTTGAACCGTTAGTACTAGGATTTTTACATAAAAAATAATTGAGTTGCAGAAAACAACAGTTTTAAACATTTAAGTATGTACAGTAATGTTCCCTATCCTTATAATTAGTACAGATATAAAATCTTTGAAAACAACGAGCCATTGTGTTACCAATGAATCAATGAATTGCAAATCAATAAGTTTCTCATTTATTTTGAATAACTATACATTCAAAATAAGATACAATAATAAAAAAATTCATACTAGTATATTTTGAGGAAAAACAATCAAAATGTTTAATTTTTTATGCCACAGGCCTGTAATCGAAAAATTGGTGATTATATTCCTATATAGATTGGCCCTATTCTTTTGGAACTTTACAGATATTCCATACTCACAGTAATTTCCTTTGAATTCCAATATGTTTGACCTCCTGACGTTGACTTTAGAGTTTGAGCTAATTTTGTAAATATATTTATTAATTTTAAAATTGGCCATAATATTTGAACACTTGTTGCTACATTCTTTTTTATATTTCACAAGTGTATTTATCTTGACAGTACCTTTTCATGTGTATTCATACTTTTCACCTCAAGTTTTGACCTTAAAATTTAAATATCTAACCTTAAAAACATATTTAACCCATTGTTTCTGAACAGTTCGCACTAGGGATGGTATGTTCCTCTTGATTTGATCTTTTTTTGGTTGATAAATACTTGTGACGTTTCGACTTTGACTTGGCAATCTGGCTTACTTTCAAATCATCATTCACCTAAACCATAACTTTTGATCAGTGTATTGGTGCAAGGGCTTAATTTTTTGCATCCTGTTTATGATGACAAGGCCTTCCCCTAGGTGACATTATTGGACCATTTCCCTGATCATTGAGTTTGACCTAATTTAAAAAAAAATAACCTTGGCCATAACCACGGTCGGTGTTAGAAGTAATCCGTCAGACCGACCGCGTCATAGCTTATAAATATTCATGTTTTTCCCCTAGTCATTCCGACTAATTTGACCTTATTATTAGAGAAAACCACACATATATAAATTTCTTAAAGTTTAATGGCGAATAATGGCCATGGCAGCACTACAATTTTCAGGAAATTACATTTAGTTACTGGTTACAATGATCATAACCAAGGTTACCAACCCAAATACATTGGGCGATTTTGGCAACCCAAATGGCAAATGGTAAATACATGTAAATGAAAATCATCATGAAATAGGCAAATATAGAAATGAATATGAAATAGGCAAATATACAAATGAAGCTGTTAAGCAACCTACTGGCAAATAATACATTGCAAATGTTTCATCCAGTCTGACACAAATAAGCAAATTGAAATTTCACACATATTGAAAATAATTATGTACAGTTGTAGCGAGCCCTGGGAACAGATGCTCACTAAATATAACCCTATTTAAAGCTGAACATGATTCGTAAAAGGAATCTGTCCGCCAATTTTTGTTCCTGAGTCTCGCTACTCTGAAGACCCCTATAAATAGGGCAAAACTTGGTCACTGTTCAGTGTAATCAGTAGACACCGATGTAGACGGACGTATGCCACAGAGCACTTGGTAGCGAGAATAATAACGTAATACTTCGTCTAATGCATGAAAATAAGATAACGATTAAATTTACAATTATAGTTGTACAAGTCAGTGCAGTATACAAACAACACAGATAAACGTAACTGCAATAAAATATAAACAAAGGTAATGCAAGATAAATAGCACGAACACGGGTCGCCATTCCACGTCGATACCCGTGACAATAAAGCAGTCAGGCGTAACGAATGCGACGAGTATACCCTAGTACTGATGTATCGTAGATAATGTTATCGAAAATGGCGTATGCCTATTTACGAGTCGTGTTCAGCTTTAAGTTCAGCTAAAGATTGTATAGTCTTATTCCATCCGTTATACATACAAATCGGGAATCGTACGAAAATCAGTCACATATAAGACAATATTGAGCCCTGGGGCAAGATACTCACATATAAACATATAAATCACTATTCACGTCCAACGACAGATTGTGGAACTCATCTAGAGAATTGTAACTTCATTGGTGCGGGTAACAATTGGTTACATCAACAGCCATCGGAGGTTACAGCCATGCAGTGCGCCATGACGAAGTTAGGTGTTGAACTAAGAGATGTACAAGGTACACATATAAATCACTATTCAAGTCCAACGACAGATTGTGGAACGCATCTAGAGAATTGTAACTTCATTGGTGTGGGTAACAATTGGTTACACCAACAGCCATCGGAGGTTACAGCCATGCAGTGCGCCATGACGAAGTTAGGTGTTGAACTAAGATATGTACAAGGTACACATATAAATCACTATTCAAGTCCAACGACAGATTGTGGAACGCAACAAGAGAGTTGTAACTTCATTGATGCGGGTACAATAACAGTTGGTTACTTCAACAGCCATGCAGTGCGCCATGACGAAGTTAGGTGTTGAACTAAGAGATGTACAAGGCTGAAAATAGAAAAAAATCAAGCAGCAGAAAATTGACACCAAACAAACAATTTATTTTATATTTTCATACATTACATACAAGGTGTTGGTGGGTGTGAATTTTTTAACACAATATAAAATAAATAAAAAAAAAATTATCTTGAGATGCTGGATTTGTCTGTTCCCCTGCATTCTTTAACGGAAAAAGAAGTCCTACGGATTTGAATAAAATACCAAAAGTTAAAAGAACGGGGAAATACTAATGACCCGATAACCTTGAATATGCGTCTCTCTAATAACGCGGATTAATTTTCAGCAATTAAATCGAATTATTAGAGAAAACCATACATATATAAATTTCTTAAAGTTTAATGGCGAATAATGGATGGCAGCACTACAATTTTCAGGAAATTACATTTAGTTACTGGTTACAATCGTAACCAAGGTTACCAACCCAAATACAATGGGCGATTTTGGCAACCCAAATGGCAAAGTGCAAGTACATGTAAATGAAAATCATCATGAAATGGGCAAATACTTTGGGCGATTTGACAACCCAAATGGCAAATGGCAAATACATGTAAATGAAAATCATCATGAAATAGACAAATATAGAAATGAGTATGAAATAGGCAAATATACAAATGAAGCTGTTAAGCAACCTACTGGCAAATAATACATTGCAAATGTTTCATCCAGTTTGACACAAATAAGCAAATTGAAATTTGAAAATAATTATGTACAGTTGTAGCGAGCCCTGGGAACAGATGCTCACTAAATATAACCCTATTTAAGTTCAGCTAAAGATTGCGCCAATGGACACTATGTGTCCACCGCCACAATGGCGGTAGCTGAACGCTTATGATTACCCCCCAACCCCTCCTTTTTAAAGAAAGGCAAAGCAAATAAATTAACATTGCATACCAAGACAAATGAGTATAAAAACAATCGCATTAGTTACATATATTGTGTGTCTATTTTAGTGTGCTTTACATTATTTAGTCAGTGAAATAGAGTGCCATGAACTTTAAAGCCCATCCTTGACATATAAAATTATGCTATGCTTTCCTCAAAGTTTCAACAAATATCTCATTGCCTTGCTGACAAGTACACCCCATTCTTATCCCCCTTGATGTGCCAGAAGATTCATTGCAACAAAGCTATAAACTCGAAACCCAGCTTTAGTAACAGTATGGTTGTCCCTAGCATTACGCCAAATCAATCTAGGTAATATCTGAGACCAAATAATTTTCAATATTTGGTGTTTGGTAACAGAACTAAAATTGAATCAAAAGAATTATTTATGCTATAATGCAAAACACATGATGGAATTTGACCAATGTTGTTGCCCTCGCAATGTAGAACCAGATTATAATTGTGGGGTATCTTCATACCTTAACATTAATTTGACTTTTGGGAGATGTCACCATCTCATGCCGCTTTTTCCTTGCCACGAGATATTAGCTTTCAATGTGGATAGCCCAAAATTGGACCCCCCATTTTGTCTAGCATAACCCAAACCAGAAGTCTCTGTCGAGACTGTAGCTCTACTTTTTATATTTAAAACAAACGAAAAGAAAAGTAGCAGTTGGGACTTAAAACTTTAAAGCAGCAATAAATAGAAAAATGATCCTTGCCACTCATCAATATAAAAACCAATGCACAGAATTATGCATCTTAGTATAGTCTACTTGTGTGCTAAGTTTTGAAATCGGACCAAAACTGTAGGAGGAGTAGCA